TCTAGGCCCTGTGCCCTGCAGTCTTGTAACCACCCTATGAAGCCCGTTGACATTTTGACATTTTCCCTTGTAGCCATAACCCTGTGTGCAGCGCCCAGGGGAGCAGCACACTGCATGGCGTGAGCTCTGCCAAGGCCTGAGGAGCCAAAGGGAATCAGCATCCGCAGCAACACAGGAGGCCCTAGGGCACACAGCACAGAGCTCCCCGTTTGCACGGAGAGGGCAAAACGCTGCCTCGTCACATGGCTATTGAACTCCCCATACTGAGAGAAAGCCTGTAATTTGCTGAAAAGAATTTTAGCTCAGTTTCTTGTGTGTTTGGGCAAGATGTATATTTAGATATGGGAAATATTTTATGTGTGTGTGGTTACAAATAGCACAGTCCTACAGATAGCAGCATTTGGGCACAGCAAGTTTAAGAAAGGAAGGGAAAGATTTGAGAGGACCTCATGCTCACTCAGCCTTTTCCTGTCTCTCCAGAGCTGTGCTCAGGTTTATGCTCAAGCCTCCTCTGGTTTAAGCAGCAAATCAAGTACTTTCCCAGGAGCGTTTGCTAATTCCCCGAGTACAGGTCGGGGAGCCTGGGGCCCCACTTTCTGAGTCTATGCAGGGGGAGATCTTCTCCAAGCAGCAGATGAGTGGTTTGTCAGAGCAGTTCTTGGACAATTTCAGAAGCACCAGAAACATCAGCTAATGAGGGCTAGAGAGAGATGGCGGGTGAAGGGAAAAATCCTCCTTCCAGGTCGCAAGATCTCCCCAGATGAAAACAAAGAGCTGGTCTAGCTGATGGGCACTAGGGTGGGGATACTTTGATTGCTAAGCCTCATTTTCACATGGTAACAGCTTCCAGTAGCTAGATGTTTTTGTGGTTTTGGGGAAGCATAACATATCTAGTGTAGTTACCGTAGAAAGCATTTTCCCCATCTGCTGAGTGATGCTCACTCTTCAACAGGCTGTGGAGCTCAGTTCACAGTTTTTAAGAACATGGCAAGCTGCTAGTGGATATCCTATTGGCTTAAACCCTGAACTAATATAAAGTTCACAAAGCAGAAAGGTCTTAAGATGAAAGGCTTGTCTATTTCCATTACTGAACGAAAATGCTATATTTAGACCTGTGACCTTTATTGTTATTTATTTACATTCTGGGGCAGTACCCAGACTTCTGTGCTAAGAAAAATTGTTTGGCAGGAATGAAGAACTGGTAGCAGTTTCAAATAAGATCAATTTCCCTTCACCTGTTATTTTTTTAGAGTTGACTATAGCTATACCCCTGGCCATCCAACATGTGTGCACACACACTAGGTGTGATGGGTGCGGGTTGGGGTGCTGTCAGTACAGAGTATTTGAGTTCTGCATCTACGATGCGATACCTTGGGATTGTCTCCAGATAAAGTTTGGTTGGCCCCTGTTTATGAGTGTTTTCTTTTTTTTTTTTCTGTTGCTTCTGTAAAGCTTCTACAAATCCTGCAAGGCTCCGCTAAGCCAGCCCCCACCCTCCTTTCCCCTTCCCTCTCATCCCTTTCAACACCCACTGGATACTGATCAGTGAGAACTTACACCCAAACTTCAGTTTCCTGCATTTCACTTCATTACCAAGTAGTAAGTCAGGTTTTTTTCCTCTCATACCCATTATTTTCACTAAGAAACTACTCAGCTCTAATTGTGATTCTCTCCACTGGAATCTCAATGTAGGAAAAGTAATCTAATTAGGAACTTTGCCGGTTATTTTGATTTCATTGTCAGCATCAGACTTTTCTATACTCTTCAAATGGAAGAACAGGAAAGCAGCAGAAATCACAATTAGGGGTTTACATTTTTTTTCAATCTACATTAGACAACAGGTTCAAGATAAAAGACATTTCCTACTTGGAAAATAATTCTGAGTGATAAGAAAAGGCGCTAACACTGTAGGTCTTGTGTATTTGAAACTAATAGATTTGAAACTAATGTATAATGAAAAGACTAACCTAAAAAACCCTTATTTTGACCAACACATTATTAAAAAGATGATTCTTCACCTATCATAATTTAGTGAATTATTTTTGAAATTAATTTCAGAATTTTAAGAGTAGAAAATATCAGCAACTTAATTCTTTAAAAAAGTGTTTTTTTCCTATTCTGTTTCTTACAGAATTTAAATAAAGAGTCTCTGAATTATGTATCTCATAAAATTTTCCTTAAAATCTTTTATTTATTTATTGGTTACTTGTGTAAAATTAACTAAAGGAAAGAAAGCGATGATAATAATAGCTAACATTTCCATAATGTTTATTCCAGGTTAGTTTTTTATTTAGGGTGTTTTGTACAAAGTAAATCACTTAATCCTCTCAACCCAATTAATGAATCACTTTTAGTAACCCCACTTCAGAGATAATGAAGCTGAGGCTGAGTTTTCAGGCAGTCTAAAGTTCTTGCTTTTAATTTCCATACTATGTTGGCCCCAGTAGCACTCTTCTAGTAATCATTTCTAAATGGTTAGCTAGCTATTGTTTTAATATTTAGTTTTAATTTAGCTGTAAATACAGACGTGTCTGAATCTAAGAGAATGTTGCCTGCTGATCTATAAGCCATACAAGATGCTGTCTGCTCTGGGAAGCCCACCTCGTACCATGGTCCAGGTCTTCATTTTGCAGAGTGCTTTCTGTCGGCACAAACAGTGGTTCAGTTTCTCCAAACAGATTCACATCAACTGAGCTCATGAGATGGTGAAGCCAATTGCTAAGGAGATGAGACAGTCTGGTTCTCTGCCCCACATGTTCTCCAGCTGAGGATGAAGTCTAGGGGACACCAACGTGTAACCTGAAACACACTTGCTGGACCCTGATCAATACAGAGGGAGGGATCATGTGAGTTGAAATTAGCTGGTGTCAGGTTATTCCAAAGGGATTGCTAGACCTTGGACAAACCTGCTACTTAGACCACAAAGATCAAATCCTTAGGTCAGGGTCCTCATGACTCTGGACCTCAACAAAGTCTGCTTGTGTGACTCTTCCTTCCCAGAATTCCATTTCTGGCCAACCCTCCTAAACACCCAAATTATGACATTTGATTTAAATATATTCATATTAGCAGTTAGACAAATGGATTTCAGCCTATTTTGACTGAATACACAATAAGAAATATATTTGAAATTCATCTTATGCAATGGCCAATCTTCCTTTCTAAGTTGTGGCTATTCCTCTTAACTGCTGTGCACTGGGTTTGTACAGTGATGCCCTAAAGACCTTAAGTGGTACCTAACTGGTGAGCTTTCTCCCATAAACACAACAACAGAGCATTTCTCACAGAGACAGAAATTATCATAACTTCCAGAGAAAAATTGCTTCCTGTATGGACTGTAGCACAGTCACTGCTCTAAGAGAATTGCATTCAAGCTACTCATTTATTCAGTAACTCTTTGCTAAGAGCCTATTTTTTGTTCACAGCCCAGCCAGGTAGATAACTAATTGATCTATTACTTTTGCATCAAGTGGAAACTGTTGCTCCTCCCACACTGTTGTAAGAACTCTTGGGGGCTGCCAATCTCAGACTGAAATGCCTTATTTAAAAAAAATACCTGAATAATATTCAATTATTATGATATACTGTTGCTCTTTTGTGGTGACACGACTAGTATCTTGAAGGTTAACCAAAAATGCAACACAAGCTAATTAACTGTGATCCTTAGATTTGGTCTTGTACTCCATAAAGTATACTTTAAAAAAATCCAGATTTCAGGTCTAAGGAGCTAAACAGCTGCACACAAGATATACTTTTCAGTAATTTTTTTTTCTTGGCTTAAAATATTTCTCTTTCATGAAATATTTCTTGGCCACATTATGAACTGTGAGAGCTTAGTGGTGTGATTCCATTCCTACCCGCTTTGCATATATGCATTTGGAACATCACTAGAATCAATGCTAACACAAGTTAGCTCTTGCATTGATTACTCCACTTTTCTGTGCATGCTCACTGCCCATAGAATTTGGTGCACTTTAAGGACAGAACCTGCTGACCTCAGCTGTCACCATGCAGCACTAAGATGTGCAGTGTGAGGGCAGGTGCCTGCTGACTGCTGAATGAATGTGCTGTCTCCAGGCCCTGGGAAGGTGGGAGATGGGTGGTGGCCATCCCCGATGGCCGATGTGCAGCCTTCCACACTCTGCTTCTGGAAAACATTTGATTTGAACAATCTGTTCTTTCTTTTCAAAGGGCAATTTTCAGCACACCACTTGGTTTACTTTTATGTTGCCAAGAAAATACAATGAGGAAGTAATTTCTTAGAAAAAAATGCCTCTCTTTCTAATCAAAATCTACTTTCAGCTCTCAGGCCTGCCTGCCCTTGCAAGTCCCAGCGCCCTTGTTCTCAGCTTGCTTCTCCTATGTTCCCAGCCAGACGACCATCTCTTCTACATGGCTTTGTCTCCTGGCAGAAACAGATGAAAAAACAAAACTGCCATGATTTCCCCCAGCTGTTGCAAAGGGGAAGGCCATAATAACATTTTTCTTTTTAGGTTGTTTTTCTTCCTTCTTTCCTTTCCCTTTCTCTCCCTTCCTCTCTCCTTCCTTCCTTCTCTCCCTTCCTTTCTTCCTCTCTCTCTCTAGTAATAAACGTTGGATCAATATTTTCTTGGCTACTGAAAAGAGAAAGGGACCAACAGGGAAATGATGAGGTGACCCAATCCCAGATCTGTGAGCCCTCAGATCCCTCGTTCAAACTCCCCTTCTGAAGCTCTTTCAGAGCCTGGCAGCAGAGTGAAATAAAAGGGAATTTTACAAAGTGCTTGACTTTGAAAAAAAAAGTGAAAGCAGGAAAGCAAGCTAATGGGAGTAGGGGTGTGTGTTGCGGGGGGTGGGGGTTTGGGAGAAGAGGCCGAGGGCCAGGGGAAGGCCATGACACAAATTAGGCTTGTGTGGAGATTCCTGCATTTTTATTGGTTTGTTCCCTGTGCTGTTTTCGCTAAAACTGCTTCCTTTTTCTCTCCATTCATTTGTTCCCAGTCCAGAGGTCTTGAATGATGTTGGCAAGATGCCAAACATCTGGGTTTTGAGAGAGAGAGAGAGAGGAATTTCCATGGTTAAGGAACTAAATACTTCTGTGTCCAATGGGATGCTCTGCATCGTGTGGCCCCAGAGATCGGATGCTCTTCCCTTGCCAGGCGTCTAGTGAGCATTATGAGAGTCATGCACAGTGCTCCACCTGGAGAATTAAGGTAGGAAAGTTTATGACATTCTCACAATAATTAGTTATCCTAATCACACCATAACCAAGTATTTAATAGTTTAATATTTTATATGGCATTTCTCTGTGTATCACTATTACAATGCTACTTTTATTAGAGGGCTACTCTGTGCCAGGCCCTGAGATACACGCTTACATGTATTAGTTCATTTTATCCTCGCAATAATCCCATTTGGTACTTAAAGTTGTCATCTTTGGTGTATACTTGAGAAAAGTGAGGTTCATCAAAGCTACAGGAGTTGCTTTATCTCGCCAAGCCAGAATAGTGTAACTGATATTTAAATATGGGTTGGTCTGACTTAAGAATCCTGGATAGTGATTATTTTTGACATTTCAGTTGATTATTACAAATATTAGTAATTCATTACAAATAATGAAACTAATAGATGAAACAGTGAGATCCCTTGCTTTGTTCATAGGAGGATGCTTACTTAAAATAGTAATTTTAGTTTTCTACACTTTATTTCTGTATCTATGTGTGCTCTTCAGGGGTTAACAAAAGGGAGTTATGAGTTATTTTTTTAAGGAGAAATGTCTTAAACATTCAATTTATTTGAAGCTCCACATTTGCTACAAGTAATGAATTTAGAGAACAAGTCGGGATTAAGTTAAAATGCATTGACCATAATTGTGAAAATGTTACTTAGTCCAACCACATTTCTTCCTTCTAAACTGTAAAAGATGGGGCATGATTCCCGTGAATTGCTTAATATTTTTTATGTATACCTTCTTCAGTTATCTATTACTATGTAGCAAACTATTCCAAAACTTAGAAGTGTAACATACCAAGTACTTTATGATATCTCAGATTTTGTGGGTTAAGAATTGAGTAATAGCTTGGCCGAGTGGCTCATGTGACATTAACTGGGATTTCAGCGGGTTCATCTGATGGTTGGGTGGGTTAGAGCACTGCTGTCCAATCATATATATGCATACAGTTTGAAATTTTCTACCAGCCACATTAAAAAAGTTTGAATGAGTAAAATTAATTTTAATAGTGTATTTTATCAACTCAAATTTTCTAAAACATTATCATTTAAAAACAATCAATATAAAACATTTTAATGAGTTCTTTCATATATTTTTTGAAATCCTATATGTATTTTACGATACAACTCAATTTGGACTATGACATTTCATGTGCTCAGCAGCCACATGAAGCTGGTAGCTACTATATTGACTGACACAGGTTACTAGACACTCCTAGATATGTCCACTTCCATGCTTCCCAGCCTGCTGAGCCTCTCTCCTTTACTGAGTATTCTCAGGATTTCCCATTTGGTTTCTCCTGCAGCTTTTGTCCTGCAGAAGTAAGTCTTCTTACAAGGTAGCTGAAGTTACAAAGTGACTGAAGTGGAAACTTCCAGTTCTTTTAAAGGGTAAGTCCTGAACTGGCATAGCATAATTTCCTCTGTACTAGGTATAATGAAGAGTCACAGGCCAGCCAGATTCTAGGGGAAGGAAAACTGCCCCAACTCTCCATGGAAGGATAATCAAAGAATTTACAGCTGTCTTTAATATACCAGGGAAACATATTAGTTTATTTCAAAGTATGATACAGTCAAGCTGCATATTTTAAAAGCCATTTACATACATTTGTAGGATATTGAGATACTGCATACAATGGAGTGAAGCAACAATTGTATATATTTTGTAAACCCTGGAGAATTATTAATTATGAATTGATTGTAGATGTTTAGAAGCATATATATATACATATACACACATATATATAAATATGTACCTTTAGAAATGAGAATTTATCATATGTAATTTATTTCATACTAGATTCTTGGTTAATAATACAACACCTAATATCAACATCGATCCTACAGAGAAGTAAAAACAATTTTTTTCTTATTCCACTGTATTTCCTAATGGTACCATTGGACCATGGTGAAAAGCAAAGGATGTCCTATTTAAATTTTATAGATACAACAGAAGCACTATAATTCTTTACCTTCTTTCTATTTGGACGTTCATTTTAGCAATTGTTTTGCCATGGAGGTTCTGCCAATATCTCTAAACCTCATTTGGATGAATATTTACAAACTGGAGATTGTTGTTTTCAGATAACCTGCTGTAAAAATGAAAGGGCAACTAGCAATTAGAAATCAAAAAGAATCTTAGGGACATTTTTTTCTTTAAAAAAAGTTTAGGTCTGATGAAATCTCACTTATACTGAAATCAACAGTTTATGAGTGCTAATGACAGAAAATTAAATTGAAGCAAAGAGAATAAAGAATTCAAGGAACTCTTTAGGGTAGCAATATATCATGATTCTAAATATATTCCTTCTGTCACTAAACTAGAGAACAGCAATAGAGCTAGACTGATTTAGCATTACTATCAAAAGTCCTTGACTATCCTCTAGAAGCAGGTGTCATGTATGACTAGTTAACTATATCCCCTATACTTATTGTTTTTGACAATGACATGTCTCTTCTTTTGGATTTGCCTACACTCTGCTGAGAAGAGCTGAGATTAGAGAATTTATCAGGTGTAGTAGATATCCATAAATGGATCAACGAAGAAATAGGCTGTTACATGAATTGGAATTAGATCCTCTGCTGAGAGCAGCTAGGATGAATTTACCAGGTCTATCAATCTGCAAATTTCATGATGTGCCTGAAAATATGTAGTAATGGAAAATACAGTCAGTAAGGCTAGAAAGAAGAAATTATGTGTTCAGTTAAGGTCTGCACTTTATTGTGCAGAAGATGCCAATATACAAGTTTGCACTTAAACCAGACAGTAATTCATTGTGATTTAGTCATTTCAGTTCTCCTACATGGAACTGCAGAAACTCACATACCAGAGCTTGATGTGGGAGTTTGGAAGGCCAACTGATCAATGAATTTGCTATTGACTTGTAAGGCACTTGGCAAATTTGCTATCTCAAAAGTTCTGAATTGAATTAGAACTCTTATCTACAGTGTATGCTGAATAAGAGAAATATCAGATTAAAATCTTATAAATTCAGGCCCCAAAATGGACAAGATGGATTAATCATATTAAAATTCACTTAGCATTCACTCTTTCAACTTATTTATTTTCTTACTATATTCCTCCATTTGATTTTTTTAAATTGAAGTATCATGATATACAATCTTATATTGTTTTTGAGTATGCTAACACAGTGGTTTAACAGTTACTCACATTATTAAATCCTCTCTCTCTCCCACTAGTGAGATTACTATTTGTCAACAAAAAATGATGTTACACAGTCATTGACTATATTCCCCATGAGGTACTACTATCCCATGAGGAACATTCAGTAGAAGTGTTCTAATACTTATAAAAAAATAAAAATTTAGAAACCTATTTAAAATATACTGCTATGTGCCAGGTGTTGTGTAAGGCAGTTCACCTTTATGCTCTTATTTACTGCTCACAGGAAATCTCAGAGTTGAACCGTTTACTTCCTTTTCATAAGTGATAAACTGAACTTGAAGTGATTAAGCCACTGCCCAATATCCCGCAGCTAATGATTGGCAGATAAAGGATGTGAACATAGGTTTGCCAGTCTCTAAAGCTCTAGCTCTTAAGCTCTATTGAATGTTAACAGTAGCAATAGTACTGGAAATAGTAATACTTGTAGTACTAAATAACTATTATTTGCTGAGTACTAAATGCCAGTGTCTGACCTTCATCCCAGGCAGCTGGTCCAGAGCCCCCCTGTGTTGAGTCACCTAGAGAATGGTGTCAGACTCCGACAGCAGCAGTCAGTGGCCAGCCACTTCCCCAGCACCTACTGAGTTCTGAGACTGGCATCTTCTTCTGGAAAGTTTCCCAAGAACCCCGGAGGTTCTGTCATTTTAGGTTGCAACAGTGAGCCACCAGAGCTCCTTCTATGCCATCAGTGAGTCACATCTGTGCCCTTCCTGACATGTCTGGGTCCCAACCTGGGTGAAGGTCTGGGGGAGGTCTTTTTTGAGTGTCTCAACTCAGCCCTCAGAGCGGGGGTTATCCTCACGTCTGCCTGTGAGGTTTCTCCTTTCCACTCAACAGTCAACTCCCCAGGACTCCAGTCCTCTGTTTATCATTCTTTATATTAAACTTTGTGCTTGTAAACATTGTGTGGTTTTTGTCTTCTGACTGGACCTTAACAAATGTTATTTTCATAAAATCTCCCAAAACAAAGGTGATCACTAGCTCCTTCTTACAGTTGAGGCATCAGAGGCACAGAGAAGCTCACGTCTGTTCAGATCTGTTCCGACAGTTGAAAAGACTGCCTTTTGTACCCCCTCATCTTTCAGTGGTTGGAGGTCCCCTGGTTTCCATCTGCTGTCAGTACTCGGTCTGGACAACTTCATAACTCTTTAGGTTCCAGCTAGCACATATTAAAGACTGAACTGTTCCCTCAAAATTCATGCATTAAAGCTTTAACTCCCAATGTGCCTATATTTGGAGACAGGGTTGTTAGGGAGGTAACTAAGGTTAAGTGAAATTTTAAGGGTTCTCCACCATGACTCATGTGCTTATAAGAAGAGGAAGAGACAGACAGGAAAGACCATTGAGGACTCAGATGGTAGGCATCTACAAGCTGAAAAGAGAGGCCTCACAAGAAACCAACCCTGCCAACACTTTGATATTGGGCTTCCAGCCTCCAGACCTGTGAGAAAATAAATTTCTGTGGTTTAAGCTTCCAAGCCTATGGTGCTTTGTTATGACAGCATGAGCAGACTACTGATACACACTGCAAACTGGTGAATCTTTATTCTTTACCTCTAGCTTCAGTTGTCTACCACATATCTTCACATTTTTTTTCAGACTTTAACCTTACCTGCCAAAGTATTCCTCCTCCTAAATCCTCTATCAGAATTAACGGCCTTACTAGTTACAGAATCACTTGAGCCAAAGACCTCAGGTTCTCCCATTTCCTTAGTATCTCATGGGTCTTTGAGTCATGACAATTCTAACTGTAAAATATTCCAATTCCATATGATCCAGCAATCCCACAGCTGGGTATGTATGCTAAGGGACTGAAATAGGTAACTTGAAGAGATATTTGTACACCCATGTTCACTACAGCATTGTTCACAATAGCTATGATATAGAAACAACCTAAGTGTCTGTCAGCAGATGAATGGATGAAGATATGGTATATTTATACAATGGAATATATTGTTCAACCATGAAAAAGAAAGAAATCCTTCCATTTTTGACATTATGCTAAGTGAGATAAGTCAGAGAGAGTAAGACAAATACTATATGGTGGAATATAAAAATACTGAACTTGTTAAAAACAGAGTAGAATTGTGGTTACCAGGGGTTGGGGATGGGGGAATTGAGGAAATATTTAAGGGTACAAATTTACCACTAGTAGATAAATATGTCCTGGAGATCTAATGCACAGCATAGCAACTATAGTCAACAATACTGTATTATAAACTTCAAGTTGCTAAGTAAATTTTAACTGTCCTCCCTGCAAGGAAGAAAGAATAATTCTGTGATATGATAAAGATGTTAGCTAGTGCTACTGTAGTAATCATATCGCAACATACAAATTAATCAAACCAAGACGTTGTATACATCAACACATTGTATGCAAAGTTATAGGTCAATTATGTCTCAAAAAATAATAAAAATTAAAAAAAAAAGAATAAATATCAGACTGTGGTTACCAGAAGTGGAGTGAGTGAGGGACAGAATTGGAGGAAGATGGTCAGAAGGTACAAACTTCCAATTATACAGTAAATAAGTACTGGGAATATAATGTACAGGGTTAACACTGCTGTATATGGTATATTTGAAAGTCACAAAGAGATTAGATCTCATACACTCTCTTCACAAGGAAAACAATATGCAGTTTTGTATGCACAGATGATGGTGGATGTTAACTAAACTTACTGTGGTATTTCACAGTATACCTAAGTCAAGTCATTATGCTATACACTTAAATTTACACAATCCTGTATGTCAACTACATCTCAATAAAACTGGGAGAAAAGGATATTTAAATTCATTTCTTCCTATGTTTCCTATTTCTCTTGCTTATTTCCTGACATTGTTGTATTTTCCTTTAACTTTGCTGGTGGAGAGGTGGACTCCAAGTCTCTGAGCTCTGTTTCTGGTCCAACCCTTTTCACTACACACCTTAAATCCTGGTCTGATTACATCACTTTAAAAGACTTAACACCTGTGGCTCACAGTAACCTTTCCAAGCTATATCTCACAGAATGTATCTTGTGAGATAGTCCAATAAAAAGGGTTTTCTGATTTAAATCATGATGCCCATATATGTAGTAAAGGCTCATAAAAGACCTGCAGAAAAGTTTTCTATTTAATTTTATTTTCTCCAGTATTTTTCAAATTCGAGACTATCTCCCTTCTCCATTTCCCTCCTCCCACCTCATTTTTTGCTCTTTGTACACATTTAGAAATGTTCATGAATAATATAAAATTATTTTTTTAATCCTGGTGGCAGACTCTGGTTGTGCCCTGCTGTGGACATGCTGGCACCCAATCCACATCTCCTTGAATCTCTCTATTATTTCTTTTTTTCTTTGATATACTTTTTATTGAAGTATAGTTGATATTAGATATTATGTTGGTTTCAAATATACAAGTGACTCAACAGTTATATACATTATTAAATGCTCACCCCAACTAGTGCAGTTGCTGTCAATATAGAAAGATGTTACAGAACCATTGACTATATTGTCTATGCTATACTTTCATCCCAGTGACTGATTTATATTATGAGTGAGATTTTGTGCCTCTTTATCCCCTTTACGTATTGTACTCACCCACCCTAGCCCCTCCTCCATGGTAACCACCAGTCACTTGTCAGTGTTTATGAGTATTGCTATTTTGTCCATTTGTTTTGGTTTGTTTTAGATTCCACATATAAGTGAAATCATATGGTATTTGTTTTTCTCCACCTGGCTTATTTCACTTAGGATAATACCCTCTAAATCCATCCATGTTGTCCCAAATGGCAGGGTTTTTAAAATTTTTTATGGCTGAATAATATCCCACTATGTATATGTACCACATCTTCTTTATCCATTCATCTATTGACAGACACTTTGCTTGGTTTCATATCTTGGCTATTTAAAATAATGTGACCATAAACAGAAGAGTGTGTATATCTTTTCAAATCAGGGATTTTGTTTTCTTCAGGTAAATCCCTGAAAGTGGAATTGCTGGTTCATATGATATTTCTAATTTTAACTTTATGAGGAACCTCCATACTGCTTTCCACAGTGGCTACACCAATTGACATTGCCACCAACAGTGTAGGAGGATTTCCTTTTCTCCACATTCTTCCAAACACTTGTTATTTCTTGTCTTTTGGATAGTGTCCATTCTGAATGTGACACATTTTGAAGTGACACTTCATTGTGATGTTGATTTGTATCTGCTTGATGATTAGCGATTTGGAGCATCTTTTCATGTGCCTGTTGGCCACCTGTATATCTTCTTTGGAAAAATATCTATTCAGGTCTTGTGTCTACGTTTTAATTAGATTATTTGTTTTTCTGGTGTTGAGGCATGAGTTTTTTTTTTATATGTTTTGGATGTTAACCCCTTGTTTTATCATTTATGAATATATTCTCCCATACCTAGGTTTCCTTTTTGTTTTGTTGATGGTGTCCTTTGCTGTACAGAAGCTTTGTAGTTTGATGTAGTCCCACTTGTTCATTTTTGCTTTTGTTTCCCTTGCCCAGGGATACATATCCAGGGAAAAATTGCTCATTCTTATGTTCAAGAGATTTCTGCCTAGGTTTTTTCTAAGAGTTTTATGGTTTCATGTCTTATATTTAGGTATATTCATGGCTCCTTTGTCATGTGCTAATGGACCATATATGCATGGGTTTATATCGAGGCTCTCTATTTTGTTCCATTGATCTATGGATCTGTCTTGTGCCAGTACTGATTTGATTCCTGTACCTTTGTAGTATAACTTGAAATCAGGGATTGTGATACTGCCAGCTTTGTTTTTCTAAAATGTGCTTTGCCTATTTGGGGTCTTTTGTGGGTCCATATAAATTTTAAGATTGTTTGTTCTATTTCATTTAAAAATGCCATTGGTATTTTTATAGGGATTGCATTGAATCTGTAAATTGCTTTGGGTAGGATGGCTATTTTGACAATGTTAGTTTTTCCTATCCATGAACATGGGATAGATTTCCATTTATTTTTGTCTTCTTCAGTGTTTATAAAATCTTCAGAGTACAAATCTTTCACCTCCTCGGTTAGGTTTATTCTTACATATTTTATTTCTGATGCAATAGTAAATGGAATTGTTTCCTTGATTTCACTTTCTGCTAGTTTGTTGTTAGTACATAGGAATGAAACAGATTTTTATATACTGATTTTGTATCTTTGCTGAATCCAGTTATTAATTCTAATAGATTTTTGGTGGAGTCTTTAGGGTTTTCTCTATATAGTATCATGGCATCTGCAATTAGTGACAGTTTTACTTCTTCCTTACAAATTTGGGTACCTTTTATCTCCTTTTCTTGTCTGATTACCATGGCTAGGACTTCCAGTACTATACTGAATAAAAGTGGTGAGAGTGGGATCCTTGTGTTATCCCTAAATTAGAGGAAAAGCTCTCAGCTTTTTACCATTGGAAATGATGTTAGCTGTGGGTTTGTCTCTGTCGTTTCTGAGGGACTATCCTCAGGCTGGAGGCCCTAGCTCCCCTCTCCCTTTGGGGTGGCCTGATCATGGGGCTTAAGGATGCCAGAGAAGCAGGAAAATCTTCCTCAGGTCTAGAGAAGGAAGGTGTTATTTATACCACTGAGCTCCCCTGCAGGATCATGCTGCATTGCCATCCCTAAAACTTTGAAATGGCACTCTCTTTTCCTTCTTTGTCCT